GTGGGGATCATGCCTGGCTGGAGTGAGTGAATAAGATGCAGTAATTTATGTTGGACATTAAGATGAGAGTTTAACAGAAGAAATGTGGGCAGGAGGAGGTAGGAAACAGGAAAAAGAAACAGAGTTGGAAGAGCTCTGAAGTCTGGTTTTACTATAAGCTCCTGTTAAATGTAGAAATTTTGTGTATATTAATGCTGATGAATAGTTACATACCTCATTGCTATCATTTGAATCTTTTTTTTTTTTTTTGGTACTGGGTGTTGGGAAAAAGTATAATGGCAGCCGCACCCCAGAAAAAAACCCAACATGGCCTGAGGAGTTTCTCTTCCTGCTTTCCCCTTTTTCCACTAGCGCGAAAAATTACCACGGGTGTGAACTCTCCCGCAGGCGCCAATATTTCAAATCTCGCTGGTGGGGAAACTTAGCCCCAATAGGAACTAATTCCATGGGCTCCGGAACTGATATCTGGAAGAACTTGCCAATAAACCGGTGGCCCGCCATTTATCTTAAGCCCTGTCATCTCTCTTTAGATCTATATAAGCCCACAGCCTTTTGCAATAAAGTGGAACTTTCTCTGGTGAATTGTCTCGAGTGGCTGCTTCTTTCACTGGGGATTGAACCCAGGATTGAACCCAGGGGTGCTTAACCAGAGTCACATTTCCAATGCTTTTTCTTTTTTGAGACAAGGTCTTGCTAAGATACCTAGGACCTTGCTAAATTGCTGAGGCTGGCTTTGAACTTGGGATCCTCCTGGCTCAGCCTCCCAAGCTGTTGGGATTACAGGTGTACATCACCATGTTTGGATCTTAAATGTCGTCCTAAAGTCTATGTGCTGAAGACTCAGTACCCAGCCTTTGCTGCTAGTAAGAGGTAGCAGAAACTTTAAGAAGCAGGATGTAGTGGGAGATGTTGGGATCATGTCCTCAAAGAGGTGTGCCCTTGAAGGGGACTGTGGGAACCCAGTCTCTTCCTTTCTTGCTGTCTTTCAAGTCCCAGACATGAGATGTGTGACTTTGTTCCATTACATTTAGTCACCATGATGTGCTGCCTTGCTACAGGCCCCAAAACAATGAGACAAACTAACTATGGACTGAAACCTCTGAAACTGTGAACCAAAATACTCTCTTCATAAGTTTATCATCTCAGGTGTCTTGTTAGAATAATGCGAGGTTGATTAACACACTCATAAAATACCCTATTCTGTTTCTTAGCTACTCTGCTTTAGTTTGGACAATCTGCCCTAGCATTAGTTTTGATTTCTCTGAAAATGAATTTACCTCAAAATATCTACTAAAGATTCCTTACATGAAATTATTTTGCCTTTTAGGAAGTTGTTTTTTTTCTATGACAAGTACTTTTTCTAGCATTTGATGCTTAGCAAAATTGAATACCCAATTTTAGTATAAATCATAGGAGTAAATTTGTATTTTTAAATAGTGGTTTCACAATTTATTTTAAAGATGGCTTCACATCTTGTCCATTCCTGGGCCTGGCAGAATGGCTCCCACAAAGAAGGGTAACGAGAAGGGCCTTTTTGCCATCAATGAGGCAGTGACCTGAGAATACACCATCAATATTCACAAGTGCATTCATGGAATAGACTCAAAATTGTGCCTCTTGGGCACTCACAATCTGAAAATGTATTATGAAGAAGATGGAGACTCCAGATATGTGCTTTGATATCAGGCTCAACAAAGCTGTCTGAGCCAAAGGAATAGGGAATGTCCCATACCATATCCATATGCTGTTATCTAGAGAGGTAATGAGGATGAAGATTCACCACACAAGTTCTATATACTCTTGTAACTTATGTCTCTGCTAACACTTTCAAAAATCTGCAGATACTCAATGTGGATGAGAACAAACCACTGACTGGCAAATAAATTTATAAAACTGCCCCCAAATAAAATGAAATGCACCATCTTAACCATTTTTAAGTGTACATTTCAGGGGCATTGGGTACACTCACTGTTGTTATGAACATTACCACCTACCTATCTACAGGATTGTTTTTACACTTAAGATGTATATGTGTGTGTGTATGGTGCTGGGGACAGAACTTAGGGCCTTGTGCATGCAAGCAGGAACTCTACCAATTGAGCTATATCCTCAGCCCCTACAGTTTTTTAAAATGTAAAAACAAAATATCATTACACACCAAAAAGGCCAGATACATTTTTAAGAAAGTCATTTACATTTTAAATATGACAAAATTCAGATTGGAACTTTAAATTGTTTTATTAACACAACTTTTGTGCCAAGGGGCACAAGTTTTAGGCTTGCTATTTAATAGTGACTGTCAAACAGAGATTTTGGAAGTCAAAATCTAATATCACTGTGAAACCTAATACATTGTGCTCTTAAGGAGAAATAATTCAAAGTACTAAGTATTACAAACTCAGGAAAGATATTTCTGATGGTACAAAAAAACAGACTTTCCTTTCACTTGTTCAGTTCTATTGAAGCAAAACAAGTAGCGAGGGATCAAACCCATTCCCTCCTCATGTTGGTGCTGATGTCTTCCTACCTGTGGGAGAACCCCTTCCTAGAAGTGATGGTTTGGGTTCAGAAGGTAGTTCTATTTAGTGGGGCAAGGTAAAGTACAGCAATAGGATTTACCCAATTTTCTGCTAGCACTTGGCTAACTGAAAAGGAACACAAGGCTGGAATCAGAACCAGGGTTTCAGGACGCAAGTCAAGTTATCCTTAAAAGAGAAATATTCCTCTAGAATTTACATCTGTATCCGGTGGAATGGTTTCTTCAGTTCCCCTTTTTTTGTGTGCTGGGGATTGAACCCTGGGGCACTTAGCCACTACTGAGCCACATCCCCAGCTCTTTTGATATTTTACTTTGAGACAGAGTCTTGCTAAGTTGCTTGGGGCTTTGCTAAGTTTCTGAGACTGGCTTTGAACTTGTGATCTTCCTGAGCCGCTGGGATTACAGGCATGTGCCACTGCACCCAGCCTCAGTTCAGATTCTTAATCTGTACATTTCTTTTTCTCAAATGTTGTCCCCTGAAGATGATTTGATTATGCAATGAATGGTTTTGAAGCTATTTCTGGAGCAGGTGTTGAAGCTTGGGAAAGAGTTTCAATGCATTCTGAGTTGTTACTTCTATCACTTCTTCCACTGAGATCCCCTTCACTTGGGCAATATATTCAGCTGAAATAGAAACGTTGCAGGGCTCATTCCGTACCTGAAACAAAAAAATAGGCACTAATTCAAACATAATTCAAGGGAAGCAGATCCTTGGAGACTGTAGATAAAACAGAAAAAAAAATGAGTTGGTGAAAAACAACTGATAAGTTCTTCAACAGATAAATGGATAAAGAAAATGTGGTATATATACACAATGGAATATTACCCAGCCATTTGCTGGTAAATGGATGGAAATGGAGACTATCAAGGTAAGTGAAATAAGCCAATCCCCGCAAAGCAAAGGTTGAATGTTCCCCTTATATGCTGATACTAACACACAAAAAAGGAGTAGGGGAGGGAAGAATAGAAGCTCAGTGGATTAGACTAAGGGGAATGAAGGGAAGAGATGGGGGGATGGGAATAGGAAAGACAGTACAATGAATCCCACATAACTTTCCTATGTTCATATATGAATACTTGACCAGAGTAACTCCACATTGTGTACAACCACAAGAATGGGAACCTAATTAGAATAAGTTCCAATCCTTGTATAATGTCAAAATATACTCTGTCACATATACCTAAAAAGAATAAATAAAAAACAACTGATTAAATCTTTTTCTGATAAGATCATCTTGTTTTTTTCCTTTAAATTGATTTACTTAAAAAAATTTTTTTTAATAAGTTGATGAAGGCAGGAGAAAAGGTACCTCTGCAATATTGATTCTAAGTCTATGCTCCTGCCTTGGGGTATTAACAATTAAAGTCCCAGTTCCTAGCATATGAAGCAATATGTAGTAGTGAACACTTGGAGACTAGCTTGTCTGATGGATCAACTGTTCTTTAGTTTGTTGCGTAAGCTGCTCCAAAAGGAGCTATTGCTTGGCCTCTTACCTCACAGGTTATATGACAGTTTGACTAAAAGAAAAACACCATCTATCTGGAAAGACCAGATAGCCTATGTACTGGAATTTCACTGATTCCAAGATGCATTCCTCCTACCCCATCTTAACATCTCTGAAATGGATATATATATATTTTACTGACACTCAGTGGCATGTCTTAGTACAACACACAGTGTTTTTCTTTTCTTAACATATTGTATCTATAATCAGTAACATTTAGATTTGATGAAATAAATAATTACTGTTGTTATTAATAAGCATCTACTCATGGTGATAATATTCAGAGGAATAAAATTAATTGTTAAAGTTAAAAAACCTTAGTAATTAATGTAGCCTAACAACACAATAAAAAATGTGCACAAAAATTTATGTTCAAGTATGTTATTCACATTGTTTATAATACAATCTAAATGGTTAATATTATTTATTTATTTTGAGCCAGAAATTGAATTCAGGGGCATTTGACCACTGAGCCTCATCCCCATCCTTATTTTGTATTTTATTTAGAGACAGGGTCTCACTGAGTGGCTTAACACCTAGCTTTTGCTGAGGCTAGCTCTGAACTCACAATCCTCCTGCCTCTGCCTCCCAAGCCACTGGGTTTATAGGCATGCACCACTGAACCCAGCCAATATTTACTTTTTTTAGAGAGAGAGAATGAATCTTTTTTTTTTTTTTTTTTTTTTAGATGGACACAACACAATGCCTTTATTTTTATGTGGTGCTGAGAATCGAACTCAGGTCCCGCCCATGCTGAGTGCTCTACCCCTGAGCCACAATCCCAGCCCAAATATTTACTTTTTTAAAAAAATTAAATTTTTTTTTAAGAGAGAGAGAGAGAGAGAATTTTTTAATATTTATTTCTTAGTTCTTGGCGGACACAACATCTTTGTTTGTATGTGGTGCTGAGGATCAAACCTGGGCCGCACACATGCCAGGCGAGTGTGCTACTGCTTGAGCCACATCCCCAGCCCAAAATTAAATTATTTATTTATTCTAATTTGTTATACATGATTGCAGAATGCAATGCATTTTATATTACACATATAGAGCACAATTTTTCAAGTAACTGATTGCATATTTACTTTTAACACTGGAATATTATATAGTTGTTAAACATGATGTGGAAAGTATATTTGTTAATATATGCAGAAGTGCACACATAAAAGGAAATTATGAAATAATACATTCAGGCTAATCCTATTTTTATGAAATATATGTATATACATACATGTATATAAAAAGTATATATGTATATATGTATGTATATACATACATGGATATAAAAAGTCTGGAAGGACAGAGAACTTACATTTATTTAGTGCTTTTTTTTTATAGATGACTCTCTGTTCTAAACTTTTCATGAAATATTTCATTTAATCCTCAAAATAACTCCATGCAGTAGGTAGGATTACTAGTAGTACCTCTTTTTTTAGTAGGTAAAAAAACATCCTACACAGATAGCAAGAAGGCCAGCTGAGGTTAAACCCAAGCAATCTGACTTTAGAGTTTATGCCTGTAACAATTATAATATGGCAGATAGTTTTATTTTCTTGTTCATGATCTTCCCTATTTCTAACTTTCCAGAATAAACATTTAGGGCTGGGGATGTAGTTCAGTGGTAGAGCCCTGGCTAGTGAGGCTGTGGGTTTGATACCCAGCACCACCAAACATACACACACACACATCTATATACATACATACATACAAAAAATGTTTATTGAATACCTACTTAGTACAAGGCACTATGCCACAAACTCAGTTTTTGTTAAATCATCTAAATACAAATAAAAAAACTGAGTTATAACAGCATTCAAAATTTATTCTTGTTTAGGAGAAAAATGCTAGATCCTTTTCTTTCATTTAACATGTCAGGACAGTAATTCTATACTATTCTGACCTATACTCAAATAGAAAAAAGAAGTTATGATCCTCTACTTTCTCATTCCTGGCTTTTATACTCTGATAAAAAATGATTTACAAAAATGTAGTTAATTAGCCAGGTATGGTGGTGCACGACTATAATCCTACTGGCTTGGGAAGCTGAGACAGGAGGATCACAAGTTCAAAGCCAGTCTCAACAAAAGTGAGGTGCTAAGCAACTCAGTGAGACCTTGTCTCTAAATAAAATACAAAATTGGGCTGGGGATATGTCTCGGTGGCCATGTGCCCCTGAGTGAAATCCCCAGTACCCTCTCCACTAAAAATGTAGTTAATTGGATATTAATTAGTATAATTCACATCACAATCACAAATAATCATCATTTGTTAATAATCACATAATGATTTCTGCTGCTTCTAGACCTCCAAATTTTGAGGGACAGTTCTCTGAATTTGGGAGGTGTAGAGACACAGATCTAATGGACATCACAAGCACTTATCAAATTGTACATTATGAGGTAACTATAACAGACACTATTTAAAGCAAATAAAAAGCAGATGCTATGACTTCCTTTCAGAAAATTATATATAATTTGGCTATATAATTGGCTATATAATAAATATATAGCCAATATAGCAATATGAAAGTATGAAATTTAAAAGGTGATTCTTTGTGGTCTACAATAACAAAATGAGATACTATAGCAAAGGTCAGATACACAAATCTATGATTCTATCAATACTTGTAATGAAAGAAATACATAATAACAAGCTAATTAAAAGGAGAAAAATGAATATTTATTGATCACCTACAATATACCAGCTACTGTTAGGTGCTTTCACGTACCTTCATGTAGTCCTTACCATAATCCTTAAAGTATAGTATTATTTTGCCCACATATTATAAATGAAAGAAAAAAAAAACAGTTTCAGAGAGATTAAAAAGCTTACCCAAAGTTATCTAGTCAGCAACAGAAACAAAATTTGAATCAAATCTTTCTGGTTCTAGACACTGTGTAAATTAGAGCATGCTCCCTAACAAATTACATTCTATGTAGCACAACAGCTGTATTTAGAAAAAAACTCAATACACGGCTGGGGAATTGGTCAGTGATAGAGCATTTGCCTAGCATGTGTGAGGCACTGGGTTTGATTCTCAGCACCACATATAAATAAACAAAATAAAGGTTCATTGACAACTAAAAATAATTTTAAAAAACTCAATGTAAACAATCAACCTAGCATTAGGATTCCACTGTATTTACACTATGCCGAAAAACATAGTTAAACTGAAACAGCTAACATGAAAGATACAACCTAAATAATATTCAAATTGAAAAATCATTTACCTGTTTTTCTGGTCCTAGCACAGGTGAATCTGTTTCTAAGCAGATTGAAGTTAAAGGCAACTGTTTCACAAGTTTCTGCTTCTTAGAGAAAAGAGAAAGCCAATAAATTAAAACGTGAAAAATACAGATAAAATATTAAACCCACATGCATCATTCCAGAAGAAACTAAAATTTAGGTTTTAATAGTAAATTGATAAATACTACCTGGATGACTACTATGTTCACATCATTCCACTATTAACAATTATTGTTAAAATATTAACACTCATTGACAAACTTATTCAAAGCTTCCGGGGAACTAAGCTTCTAGTTATAACCATAGCAAAAATGAAGTATGTCCATCAAGAAATTCAAATATCTTTTTTTTTTTTAGAGAGAAAGAGAGAGAGAGAAAATTTTTTTAATATTTATTTTTTAGTTTTCAGCAGACACAACATCTTTGTTTGTATGTGGTGCTGAGGATTGAACCTGGGCTGCACGCATGCCAGGCGAGCACGCTACCGCTTGAGCCACATCCCCAGTCCCAAGAAATTCAAATATCTGATATCACATATCTTCTCAAAGACCCAAAGAAGAGAATTCCGTCTTTGGCCCACCACTGCCACATTCAGTGTTTCTTTCTATCTACCTTTAATTTTTTGAGGAACTACTAACCTGAGTTGGGTATTAGAGCATCTCACTGTGCCTTTGATTGGCATTAACATAATGGAGAATAATGTTGAGCATGTTTATGCACTTATGGTCACTTGATGTCTTCTTGAGAAAAATATCTTTGTAAATCCTTTGCCAATTTTTAAAATCAAGTTTTTTTTTTTATTATTGAGCTGTAATGGTATGTTACATATTCTACCTGAATTTTTATCAGATACATGACTTGCAGATATTTTTTCTCTTTATGTGGGTTGTCTTTCCACTTTATTGACAGTATGCTTTGAAGTATATGTCTCTTTTTTTTAATTGCAGAAGTTGTGAATTTTGATAATGTCTAATATCTATATTTTTTCTTTGGTTGCTTATGTTTTTGTTGTTGTAGCAAGGGAAACCATTGCAAAACCAAGGTCAAAATATTTAGACCTATTTTCTTCTGAGGGTTTTATAAATTTTAGCTCTTATATTTTGGTCTGTAATATATTTATATATATATATATATATATATGATATATATTAACTTTTGAAATGTAACTAGAAAAGTATCATAAGTATGTTGTCAAAGCCTATATTTTAAAGTACATTTCACAAAGTATCGGATGATAATTTTTAATGAAAAAATTTACCTGTCCACTTCTTATGATAGAAGGTGGAATTGAGAAGAAGTACCCAGCTCTTACTCCTTCCATGGCTACAGATGGCCGGCCATCAAATGCATGCAGCAGTACCTTGTCAGCACCTTCCAAAATTAAAAATAAATTAGTGTTCCACTTTGTTTCCTTAAGAAAAGTTTTTCTCTTTAGTCAAATTGAACAACAGAGATTTGAAATTCTAAGTAAATCTTGGTTACTGCGATATAAAGGCAAGATTCTATGACTTCAGGGTAGATAAATACAACATTCAATAAATAGAATAAAAAATATTCTTGGGCTGGGGCTGTAGCTCAGTGGTAAAGCACTTGCTTTGCATGTGTGAGTCACTGGGTTCAATCCTCAGCACCACATAAAAATAAAGATACTGTGTGTTCATTCACAACTAAATAAATATTAAAAATAAATTCTTTTTAAATAAAATTGAAACAATTTTAAAAACAATTATTTAAACTGCCTATACCATCAGATTTTTTTTCCAGAAGTCTTTGAATTGTCAAATTATTGCCCCTAATAGAAGATTTTTAGGCACATTTATTTTCCTAAAAAAATGCTAATAAAGAAGAAATGGAGAGCTAGATGACACACAAATTAAACAGTTAAGAGTTGGCTTCATAAAATCAACTCTAGTTCTTAAAGGACAGTTGCTCAGTCAACATAAAAATCATGTTTTCAGGGGGCTGGGGTTGAGGCTCAGAGGCAGAGCACTTGCCTTGTACGTGAGGCAATGGGTTCGATCCTCAGGACCACATAAAAATAAATAAATAAAGGTATTGTGTCCATCTAGAACTAAAAATTTAAAAATTGTAAAAAATCCTGTTGTCAGTGATTTCAGAAGGGTTCAATGTTCGTCACAGAGAAATACAATGTTTAATTGCAGGCAATTACATCTGCTTCATTAATTGACAGTGTTTTTTCAAATGGTATGTGTGACTATTTATGGGTTATGACAATAAATGGGCTATGAAATCAATTTTAGTAGGTGATAACCCACAAGCATGGGCTTGCATACACTTAAACTCAATGAGTACACATTGAGTGCTATGTAAATATATTTACATACAAATACACATGTATGTGCTGCTTATGAAAAATGTTAGCTTTATTTATGTGCATATGAGTCTCAAAATAAAGAAAATTTTTTACTGTGGATGGCATTTAAAAACAATAATGCTATAAGATGTTTTTACTTTAGTGACAACCGTGAAGATGACAGTGCATTTTATGTATGATGGCCACAATCAGTACAGTACCATTTTGTGAAGCAATAGACAGAAAACATATAAAACATTGATCCAAGATGATTGTTGTGTGATTGCCCTGCCTTGCCTTGTTTTCTTCTTTCATGTTACTCATGGTGATTTAGAAGCTGAAGTTGCTGCTGGGCGCAGTGGCGCATGTCTGTAATTCCAGCAGTGAGAAGCTGAGGCAGGAGAATTGAAAGTTCAAACCCAGCCTCAGCAACTCAGTGAGGGCTTGTCTCTAAATAAAATATAAAAAAAGGGCTGGTGATGTGGCTTGGTGGTTAAGCCCCACTGGGTTCAATCCCTGGTACCAAAAGAAAAAAAAAAAAAAAAAAAAGAAACCAAACTGGAGCTACTGATTTTTAAAGTAAGGAATATAAATTGATTCAAGTTTTCATTTGCTCTATCTTGTCCTGTTAAATATATTGTGTGAAGCCTTTGTAAAAAGTACCCTGACTTGCAAAATCAGCTTAGTTGATTTCTATCTTTGCTCTTGCTTCATTCATTTCCCTTTAAGAAATCAAATCAAAACGTGGCTTGCTCTATGATATTATGAACTAGAAATGTCAAACTTGAAGATTAGACACATTTCTCTCAGGAATCTTAAATACCTTGTTCCTGCAAGAGGCTGATGGTAGGTCTTCCAGCTGAGCGTGAATGAACATTTCTGTTTAAAAACAACAAAATTCCTTTTAATACTTGGAAATCTGAAAGTATTATTTTTGTTCAATAATTCAGAGAAAAAGAGATCCAGAACTCCATTTCAGGAGGATTCTTTGTTCATTATTTAATTTGCTCTATAGCTATTAATACAGAAAGATAAGTAAACCTACAGAGGCAAATTTAGTCTTTTGGCTAATTGGACCTGTGTGATTAGAACTTGTCTTTGTTCTTCCTTCTGTTTATCAGTGTTAGCAAATCTGGGAGAAAAATCTAGTCCAACCTGTAACAGAAAAATAAAGGAAATTACATATTTATGGCTTTATAAATCCCCAAAGAGATTCTATAAATTAGTACTATGTGGTAGAAACATAACATAAGCCATATATGGAATTCACATTTTATAGTAGCCACATTAAAAATATTGAAAAAAAACAAGTGAAATTAATTTTAATAACAAACTTTATTTTATTTAACCCAGTAGATTAAAAATATCATTTTAACATGTACAAAAACCTGAACTTTTTATATTATTTTTCTGGGAGGGGGTACTGGACTTTGAAATTCAGTATGTGTTTTACACATCTCAATTTGGAGGACTCATATTTCAAATGTTCAACAGCTACATGTGGTTATCACACTGGACAGCATAGATTATAGATGACTGTTTCCTTTGACACTATATTGGCATGCATTATATTATCTATATTCTAAGTTTGAGTGTTATTCTTCTATCTTGAATAAGGAATGGACTTTATTAATAGGTGATGAAAATATTTTAGCATTATAAATAATTTAAATAAAACTGTTACAAACTATACCCTGTTTAAAGTTTGCTTTTAAATTACTTATGAAGAGATACACACACACACACACACACACACACACACACACACACACACACTACTTTAACTAACCAAAGCAATGACCCATGTTTAAGCAAAAGAGAGAGAGAGAAAAAAAAGCAAAGTATTTAGAAATGCTATTAGAATAGTTTCTCTTATTAATATAAGCCTATGGTTTTCTATTCTTTCATTCCCATGTTCTCTTGCTTACTGAGGAACTATCAACAAATTCAGCTGAATGAAGTGAACATAATTATTCAAGTCAGTTATAATCACCAATATGAAAATAAGGATTATTTTCACCTATCATATATCATTTGGAGGTCTAGATTAAAAGTTATTTGATCAGCTAATGGGTCTTTACCTCTCCAATTGCCAACAACTGATCCTTATACTTCTCGATGATAGGCAAAGCTAAATCCAAATCCTGAGAGAACAAAAAGTAAATTTGTTAAAATGGAAGAAGGGAACTACTATTTCATGAGTACACATTGAGTGCTAGGCTCTATGCTATGCCGATACTTTACATACATTTAATGTATTTAACCAGTTAGTGAACTAAGAATAGTAACCCTTCTATAATTGTGAGTACTTCTACCTATAGTCTGAGTAGAAACTTATCCCATACTTATTCAGATTACAAAAATATGACTTTTCAACGAAGAGTCCCACTTAATCATTGCCCTCTGTTTACAGACATTTCCTGGCAGTTAGTTAGAAAGTATAATTTGGTAAAATTTTGGATTATTATAGCCAACTGGATCTTTTAAAGACATAAATCACATCTTGTCACTCCACACTTTACATCCTTCATTACATGTAAACTAAAATCAAACAAGGTCTTTATGAGATAGCTTGTACAATTCTTCTGATTCTATCATTATCACTTTCTCTATCCCTTTAGCCATATCAGCCTTCTATTTCTTCAATCCCCAGTACCTCAAAAAAATATAAAGTAAAACTAAACAACAACAGCAAAACACCATCCAAATTCCTTTCAAATAATCATTTTTAATTTTTTTTCAAAGCACTTAGTGCTTTGAAAGTTTTCTGGTTTATATAATTGATGATTGTCCCATCTAAAATCTAGCTTCCATGAGAGGGCTTCTATTCATTGTCAGGTCTCTAGTGCTCAGAGCAGGGGCTGGCACATAGTAGGTGCTCAGTAAACACTGGTTAACTAAATGAACACTTATGGTAATAGACCTCTATATAAATAGTAGAGATCCTTCGGAGTGCTGTCCTGCTCTGGTTTCCAACATTTTGGATTGTGATTCTCTGGCAGTTTAGCTAATTGTATCATACTCAACAACTCAGGAGGACAAGAGGATAAGCATTTTTACCTGAAGTGAATTAAAAGCATTTTCTTTTCTTTTCTTTTTGGTACTCAGGGATTGAACTCACTGAGCCACATACGCAGCCTTTAAAATTTTTTATTTTTTATTTTGAGACAGGGTCTTGCTAAGTTGCTTTGCACCCTGCTAAATTGCAGAGGCTGGCTTTGAACTCACAACCCTCCTGCCTCAGCATCCAGAGATGCTGGGATAACAGGCAAGTGCCACCATGCCTAGCAAAGCAATTTTATTTTGAAATAAAATATTTGCTGTTATGGTTTGGATATAAGGTATCCCCCAAAGTTTCCTGTTAATGCAGGAGTATTTAAATGTAAAATGATTAGATTATGAGACCTAATCAGTCCATCCTGGCTGGAGAAGTGGTTCACTGGGGTCATGCCCTGGAAGGGCTGTTCTACTTGTAGTCCCTTCCTCTTTCTCTCTCCACTTCCTGATCTCATCATGAGCTGAGCAGCTTTCCTGCACTGGGCCTTTCCCTGTGATGTGCTGCCTCACCCAGAGCAATGAAGTTGGCCGTCTATGGATGAAAATCTCTGAAACTTTACTCCCTCTAAGTTGTTCTTGCTGGGTATTTTGGTCATAGTGGTGAAAAGCCATCTAAAACATATGCCAAATTCATTAACTTCTCTTTACCTGTACTACTATCACTCTGGTTCAACCCTTCATTATTCTCACGTGGACTACTGCAATAGCCTTCTAACTATCCTTTTTTCTTTTTTGCCCTCCTCAGAATTCATTCTTCATACCGTAGACAAAGGGATCTTTTAAAAATATAAATCACACCTTGTCACCATCTTTAATGTAGGAATATACTAAATAACTTTCATTAGTATAAAAGTCGATGGCCCTATAACTTATTCATAGGTAACCAAAAGGTAATTACTTCTTTGAAATGATCTATAACCTCCATTATATAATAAAAAAACTCAAAAAATTGTGCATCTTCATGATGCTGAGTCAGGAGACAAGCATGAAATATAACACATATTGAATACTGTGAGTCATGAAACCTTGTGGATAGGATGTTTTTAGAGAGAGTATAATATCAACGCAATTTAATAGCTTAAGACCAATTCTGAAGAGGTGCTTTCATGTTCAGAGAACCCACCTATTCACATTATACCTGTGAATCTTTGTATCTTTCTTTTTCTAGATATATTCTATCACTTTTTTTTCCAAAAAAATATGACTACAGGACAAAAAAATGTGGAATAAAGTAATTTATAATTCTATCAGATCATCATAATTACTATCATTTCTGTGTTTTTCTTTCCAGTCTTTTCCTTGTGGAATATATTTTTATTATTATTATTTTTTGGGGGTACTGGGGATTGAACTAAGGGGCATTCAACCACTAAGCCACATCCCCAGCCCTATTTTTGTATTTTATTTAGAGATAGGGTCTCACTGAGTTGCTTAGTGCCTCGCTTTTTGCTGAGGTTGGCTTTGAACTTGAAATCCTCCTGCCTCAGCCTCCCAAGCCGATGGGATTACAGGTGTGCACTACGGTGCTCGGCTTGGAATATGTTTTTACATGAATGTTACTAATAGTCAATAAACTATTTGGTATTGTTTTTCTCCTTATTATAGTAAACATTTTTCATGTGCTACAATAACTTCATAATTCTCATTTTCTATAACTGAATTATAATTAACATTCTACAAGTCAGTTAATGATTCCTTTATTTCTGAACCTTGCGGCTGTTTCTATTTTTCTCTACTATAAATAATGTCATAACAAATTTTTTTGTGAAAAAATGGATTACTTTCTTAGAATATAAATTAGAAAGAGGAGGATAACTGGGTCAAAGTTATTACCAGGAGCTGGGGTAGAGCTTGGTGGTAGAGCTCTTGCCTAGCATGTGTGAAGCACTGGGTTTGATCCTCAGCACCACACAGAAATAAATGAATAAAATAAAGGTATTATGTCCATCTACAACTAAAAAAATTTTTTTAAAAGTTATTATCATTTTTATGGGTCTTGTTTTATATGACTATTACCTTTAATGTAACACTTCTTTGGTCTTCTGGTGAAAGTCCTTGAACTGGGTGAACACCCAAGCATGGCAGAATGAACCCGCTGTATCTAAAAATGTAGAATAAATTAAGAACACAGGAATATAGAGTAGGCAACTACAGTGTCACTCTAAAGTAGAAAAGAATATAATTTTAGGACTATTTTAATATACTTTTCCTCCAATTCTCTTTAAAAATAAATATTTGATGTTATATAACTGATATAAGTGTCCTTAATAGCAATTCTTTAAAATTTTAATTAGAAGGAGTACCTTTCTGAAAGTTGCATAATCTTTTCAAATTCTCCTGAATGTTCAGCAACTGCTACAAGGGCCATAACATTGGCCTGAAAAAAAAATAGAATAGTTAAGGGTCCCAAACAATACACATCACACATTTAATTCAAATTCAAATTTTAAATTTAGTTATTTTTATTTACTCAGAATTTTATTATTAATATAATAATAATGGCTAACACTGAGTACTTACTGTTTCAGGCCCCAGGCTCAGTTAATATAAATATTATCTCCCTTAATATACACAGACCTAGGAGGTATGTATTGTTATAATCCACTGTATAGATCAGTAGACAGAGTTTTGAATACAGTCAAATAGCTTAAATAGGTCATTAGGCCTGTGGGATTCTAAAGCGCACCCACCTAATTAGGCTGAATGTAAAAAGATAATGGCAATCATTTCTAATTTTATTACTCTCCCCCGACCCCCAAGTAATAAGGATCCAACCCAGGGCCTTAGGCATGTTAGGCAAGTGCTCTACCACTGAGTTGCATCCCTAGCCCTTTTTCCTAGCCTTTTTTAAGGCAGGGTCTCACTAAGTAGCCCAGGCTGTCCTCAAACTCATGATCCTCCTGCCTCAGCTTCCTGAGTAGTTGGGATCACAGGCATGAGCCACCACACCCAGACTCTACCACTTTCTGATTAGACTGAGAAAGGCTAGTTATAATGGATTTCATAAACATTTCCAAAAATTAATAATTTTTCTAGGAAATAAAAATGTTTCAGAAAACTTCTATAATATATCTCTAGAATAATGTGAATTTAAGAACTTACAGATGGACCATTCTGTTATACAAGACTAGTAAGAATGGTGGTTTCAGGAATGTGTTTTGAATTCAGACTAATCTGTCTCTATCACTTCACTAGCATGTGTCTTTGAACTAGAATTACTAATTTCTCGGCCTTAACTGTGTCATCTATCAAATGGGAAATGGTTGGCTACAAAATAGTACTTCCTCAGAAGGTTATAAAACATTAAGTAAGATAAAATTCAGAAAGGGCTTAGCTTGGTTCCTGGCATAGAGTAAGCATTTGTACAAATGCCACTTATTATTAACTACTGAAACAACATCAACATAGTATATCTAAACTTCAAACTGTTTCAGCTTGAAATTAGTCACAGTTTGAGATTAGCAGGAAAGACAAAGAAGAACAAGAGAGACAATTATAGGTACTGACTTACCTTCTTGGCTTTTTCCAACACATCGTCCAGATCCTAAAATAAGCATAGATTATCACAATTAGATGAATAAGTAATGACTCCTTGGCTGTGTAAATTGATGCAGTTAAGGAACCATAAAGAATGACAATGTTAGCAAGGAAAAGGATGGTGGAAAGTGAGGAGCCTACACTGACCCACCTCCTGTTACTCTCAAGTCTGGCTTCTTTTGTCACTGCACTAAAAAAGAAAAACATCAAGGATATTTCTCTGTTCTCTTCTTACTCTACCTCTCAGCAGCACTAGGAACCCCTCATTTGTCTAATTTTTCCTTTTTGAAAGAGTTTCCACTCTTGCTTTGCACAACCACCATTTTCTCACCGGCAGCTACTTGTTAGTTTCATGATTGGCTTCCCTCCTTCTCCTGATTTCTCCCTCTGCTCTTCCTTCTCCACGTGCATTAAGGGATCTCATGTTTTCAGTTTTAAACATCATTCTATTGGGGCTGAGGTTTTAGCTCAGTAGTAGAGCACTTGCCTAGCAGGTGTGAGGCACTGTGTTTGAACCTCAGCACCATATAAATAAATAAAATAAAGGTATTATGTCTATCTGTAACTTAAAAAAAATTAAAAATCATTTTATTGAAGCTACAATCTCTCCTGAACCCATGATTCATATTTAAAATTGACTATATGACTGCTCCACTTGGACGGATCAGGCTTTCCAACCTGTTCCCAGTATCTTTCTTTTCTTCCCACAAACCAATTTCTTTTGTTTACCTCCCCACCAATCCTAGTAAGCAGCACCACAATTCTCCCTACAGTGAAATATGAGACTACTTTGATTTTTCCCTTTCCCTTACTCTTCACATCCAATTCCTTAGCAAGTATAATAGAGTCTATCTCTAAAATATTTCTTGAATACATCTACTCCTTCCAGACTCCTCCACTATCATTATAGTACTGTTACCAAAAGCTCAGTCCTTGTCTCTGATATCAATCCAATAATGAGGGCATAGTTTTGAGAAGAAAGGAAAACAAAGTTTCATTGCTTTGCTAGCAAAGGAGAAAACACCAGGGACTCCTGTCACAGAGGCTGTGATTCTGTTCATCAGGGGGAATGGGAGAGGGTAGTTTATTTATATTTCTAATAAACTAGAAAAATACTTTGATTAAGTAAAACAACAATATACCATGAAAAAGCCACTCCCATTATCTGGAATACTAAAGCCCTTATATAACATTACATATTTTAATATAAAACAGTAGAAATTTATCAGAAACCTCAAAATATTAAAAAACCAGTGTTAGGTACTCAGAAAAAGCTCCAGAATCCAAAATCTCATAATCCATAAATCCCAGTGTTACCCTAAATTGTGATTAGCTACGCATACGTTGTGTCATAATTGACCTTTTCAAAATTTACAGACAAGTCAATGCATCTATTTTAAAAGACTACCCTTTATAGTTAAGAACTTTACATTAACTTTTATATTCTACTCAGCAAGATGTTTGGAATAGGAGAGTTTTAAAGAGGTGATTCAGGGAGCTGGGGCTGAAGCTCAGTGGCAGAGCACTTGCCTAGCACATGTGAAGCATTGGATTGATCCTCAGGCAGCACCACATAAAAATATATTAATAATTTTTTTTAAAAAGGGCGATTCAAAGGCTAAGTTCCTGTAGTTTTCTGTCCAGAATTGTAATTCACTTGAGCTAGTCATCTCCTAAGATCCCCCAAGTCTGAATCACTTCTATTCTATTCCTGTTCTGAGTGTGTGCTCAAGGCCAGATAACTGCCTAGGATGGGAAAGAAAGATAATCCTGATGGCTCTGAAATTAGGGAGGGGAAAATTCCGGAGAGGGAGAGATTAGAGAAAGGGAAGGAGAGAGAAAGTGAAAGAAACATGTCCATTTTAAAATAAGCCTCAGTGGCAGAGCAGCAAGGGCTATATTCAAAGCACAAAGTAGATCATTGTTACAGTACTAAACATCATTTCTTGTCTGTATACTGTAAAAGTCTCTTAACTGATCTACCTTGTATTCTACCTCCATCTATTTGCCACAGCAGCAAAATGATCTTCAAGAGGCTATTTGATTTGATCAGCCTTATTAAATTCCCAAACCCACTTTTAATAGAATTAAAATTGTGCATCTAATGCAATTCAAATTCCTTAATGATTTACCTTACCCATCTCTTACAAACCTCTTCAGTCTAGCTTCATTCCTCCCTCTTTCTAGCTCATCAGGCTCATCCAGCTTTTTGGTAAATGGAATGCGCTAAATTTTATCCTGGGGACCTGCAACCTGCCTGCTCCACTAAACTGCCATGTATTCAGCCCCTTGCCTTGGCTGGCTCTTTTATTTTCCCAGCCATAAGCCTCACTTCCTAAGAAGTTTGCCCCCTGAAATAGACACCTGTTCTTCCTTCTCTGTTAGCAGTCTCGTTTCCAACGTAGCGAGCAAAACACTTTATAAACTGGTTTTGTGAGTGTGAGTGTTAATCTTTTAGTTTGCCTCTCTGCTTCATTAGAACTGGAGCATGCGATGTGTCAGATGGTGGTGGTGGTGGTGGTGGGGTGTTCTGGAGAATATGGGATAAGCAGCACGGTCCAGGGAAGGTAGAAAAAAGGACTTCAAGAACCAGAAACGGCAAACACAAGCTTTGTGGAGAGTTCACTGTAATCCAGAAAGAAAAATCAATATGACTGGGGTGAAGCAGGAAATCGGGCAAGTCTCAAAGGGACACGGGCAAGGCCTGGGATTTGAGGACTTCACTCCAAGAGGGGAGAGAAAGATAATCTGCGGGGAAAAGACGAGAACCTCCCCACTCTCCCGAGCCCCGCCTCGTTCTCACATACGCTATCAAAGTCCGAAGCGGACAGGTGGCAGTGACAGTCCACCAGCCCCATGCCAACCGCGCCCATCGTCCCTTCTGCAGCCGCCACTTCTCTAAACACGCACAGCGAAGCAAAAGCCGGAACGCTTAGGCTGCGTCCCCTCGAGTTTCAGGCGGGACGTAGGCTCCTTCCACTAGTTGGAACTCGGACTTCCGGTCCCAGGGTCCCCGCCTGCAGTTCAAACTGGAAAATGGCGGGGGCTTCTGAGTCAGTGGCTGTCGCCCCTTCGCAGGACCAAGAGATAGTGGCCGGGACAGACAGCCAGACCGCAGGCCCAGCCAACCCCCGAGAGGACTTCCGAGTGCGTTGCACTTCGAAGAGAGCTGTGACGGAACTGGTAGAACTGTGCCGCCGCTTCGTGCAAGAGCTCGGAGACGCGCTGCCAGAGGAGATTCGGGAGCTCGCGCTGCGAGATGCGCAGTGGGTACGGACCAAGTTTGCCGCCTGTTTAACACTTCCTTACCCAGTACTCCGGGTCTCCGGGCTAAGAAAGACCCTACTCCAGGCCTCAGCGGAATTAACGGTGCCCAGGCTGCTGTAGAAGCAGCCTGAGAAAGGCGAGGGGAGAACGAATAGATGTTAGTATCAGCTGGGTATTAGTAATTACTTGGACCAGTGCTGACCCGAGAGAAATGTAAGGCGACCTGCATAAATAATTATAAAAGAAAAAACAGGCGAAATTAATTGAAATAAAAATGTTTTCTTTAACTCAAGGTACCGTTTTACCACTTAAAGTAATGATACACTGAACGTGTTAACTTTCCTTTCTACGTGTCTATTGATTCCTCTTTTGAACGGAGCAGGCATATAATACATTCTGAGGAATTCTCCAAGAAAGGGTAATCCTGGAAAGTCACCTGGTCTTGGCCTTTTGCCGTTTTAGAACCTCTTAGAAGCAGATCGAAAACATTTTCTTTATAAGTCTAAAATAAGTGAAGAGGGTTACATATGTTGCTTATAAATTTCATTAATGTTAAAGTTAGTCCTTATAACACATTTTCCTTTCCTTTCTCGGATATTTTGCAAAGCCCTGGAGATGGTAGTTGTTGGAAAAAGGAAATAAATTGAGGAACTGGTGCCTGTCATAAGGAAACACACAATCTGTGCAAGAAAAATAACTTATAGCTTATAATGCAGCACATTGGTGAATATGAATGATCACAGTGCAAAGAGTTAAAATAGAGGTTAAATGGAAAAAGAATGAAGAAAATTCTTTGGGTCCCAGAATGATGGTGCTTGCCTATAATCTCAGGTACTTGGGAGGCTGAGACAAAAGGATCACAAATTCAAGGGCAGCCTAGGCAACTTAGTGGGGACCTTGTCTCAGAACAAAAATAATAAGGATGGGGCTGTAGCTCCGTTGTAGAGTGCCTCTAGGTTCATTC